TAGATGCCTTCACAATTTCGATAAAAGTGAAATTCACTACACAGCTAACCCGGCGAGTTGACACTTTGGACTCTTCCCACCCAACTATGGTATACACTATGCCAATATCAGTACCTGTTGAGGTAAGGGCTCAAGCACAATAAAAGGGAAAATAAAATGAGCCACCGTAAGTACAAAAAGCTTCACTTGTAGACACCGAGGTGAGTAGAAAAGAGGGCACGTGGGAACAATGCCAAAAACGGGAAGGATATATCAGCCAGGACACAGCTTTCGCACAAAGTCTGAAATGGCTTTACTTGGCAGCTGCTTGGCTGTTGCATTCCTTCATGAGGTGTTCAATGAGTCGATCGTTTGCCAGGAGGTACAGCATGTCTGCCATTGTCTGTTCAATCTCTGCGCTTTCACGTCGTGCTGACATCTGGTGAATGAGACGCAAAAATAAAGGTGTCAACATTTCACTCTCTCGGTACGTGAAAATTTCCCCTATTCCTTCTCAACTGTTCTAGAAATCAGCAAAATTACACATTTGCAAGCTCTTTTACCATAATTAACAAATGCGACGAAATGTGTAGAACCAGTAGAAATGTCGAAAATTGGTGAAACACCTCCATCTGATATTGCCAGGAACCCTAACAATTCAGAACCCACTTCCAATACAGTCGGCATTTCTATTCTGTTAATAATAAATCAAGTAGCCCTAAAAATTCTGTATCATCGGAGACACGAATTGCAACACTTAGGCCATACGGGACAGACGTGAACACAGTGAACACGTAGCCGAATTTGAGTAGTTTACTTTTAAAATAAGTCTTTACACTAAATAGATCTTTCGTATCGTCATTAACCTGCTCTACATATGACCGAACAACACAAGTGAGAGATGAAATTTTACAACTGAAAGCAGGACGCAAAACCCACTGGTAGCCAGTTCTCCGACTCCTGAGGGGGATATTTGAAGTCGGGCCCGAAATTGACCGAGACGGTAGCCGATTTGTAGATGGAAATGGCCGGGTAGTACGCACCTGCGTATATGTCACGAAAGGCCACGCCAAGACATTCACCGTTGCGGTAAAAAACAATCTACAGAAGGTGTAATGAAAGATATTTGTTTAAATGTGTACCTGACTTCGTAGGCTCTCGAGTGTCCGCGAATTCCATTAACATCTTGGTGCCGTGGGCTTGCATCTACAGCTACGGCCAGTCAGCCCTCCTCCACCCAAATAACAAACTATTCCTCTACACTGGCATGCCTTATTACGACTTCAGAGATGACTTGGGCGCCGCAGCAATCAAAATTAGCAGCCAGAAATATCCATTTCAAAGCATACTTTTACAACCAAAGTAAATTATTAATTAAAAAGGACTTTTAACGAAAATCCTTAATTTGCAAAGTAGGCATTGGCATAAAACTTAACGGTTTTCAATCAAAATGTTACCAAGATAAACTTGGAAATACACCTTACATTTGATTTACGTAAAAGTATGCAGAAATATATTACATCCAAACCCATGCATGGTGCTATAAATGACAAGCTGATGTCACAATGATTTACAAATGTGATTCGGATGGGCATTTGAAGCAACACTAAATATCTCACAAAATTTCACATATAGCAGATTTTTTCACACTTTGAAAGCCCATGAACTTGACATACCTAGCTGATAACTTTTTCAAGCAGTCACCTTGAAAAGAAAGTGCAAACGACTGAATTAAGAATGGGAGCATAAAGATTACCTTGCTTCGTGGCAAAGGCTGCAATTGTTTCTCCAATGCCTGTGGATCACCCTTCTCCTCGAAGTAGTAGTAGTTGCGGAATTTTATCAGGGGCTACAAAACATTGAAAAAAAAGTGAATTACGGGGCAAGCTATAAAAATTCTGAAGACTGGCTGGTGAATATCCAGCCCCATTTCTTCTCAGTCGTATATGTTAATTTTTTGACTACCTATTGTGCATTAGAATTATGCTTGGGTTTATTTCATAATTAACCATGCGGGTCCCTTGTAGTCAACACGGTGGCGTCGAGTTTTGACCATCCCCATTCCACAAGCATACGGAAATGATTCAGATAACACACTGGCGACGGATGTAGTTAACCTAATCAAAAGAGCAACAACTTTGACTTCACTGGCCGGACACCATGTCAAAAGTCGCAGAATGAATGAGGTCAATCGCCACGGAAACCTTAACCCGCCGAAATACACAATAGAGGGACTATTGCAATAGCAGTGACTTGTGGTAACTAGCCCTATCTCGAGTTCTTAATGAACCAAGATCACCCTAAGAAAATCGCCTACGCTTCTCCCACAAATGCGCTGGTTCATGGTCATTCTCCAAGGACACGGTACCTCTGAAAACACTCTTTGACGAGTTTCCATGGGATAAGCGATTGACATATGGAACGCGGTCACTGTATATTATCCACCTTTTAATATGAACTTTCAAAGGTATCTTCCAATGCAGTTCGTCCAGAAAAGCATGTACCACCTGTCTCGATATTGATTGCAATTTAATGGAAGGTTTCTGAAGGTTAAAGCAAAAAATTAACCATGTAGAGCACTGGCAAGGACACTTTAAAAAAGAGACTGCGCATACTTCGTTACCTGAGATTTGATCTACACGGCGACATGATCTCTGCCCATGATACCGAAGTTGCTAGTCCCCCAATCCATCTCCCAGGGTCGCAAGCCCTCTAGCATCTTCATAAATTATTTAAACGCCGAAGTGATGCCAGATTCGGTATACACTATAAAAACAACCTCGACTTCACTGGATGGATACTGCGCTTCAACGTCATATGAGGAAGATTCGTGAAAAGAAAAAGACTATCAGAACCACGTCTATGAGTTCTGCATAATGGCCAGCATCGAAGTCATTGGACTTTCAGTCCATCTCTACTATGCCTTATAAATTCTTCAGTACCGCATATGTGAAGCAATTTGTTTAAAAGATAAAAAATGAAGAGATACCCGATCTTTGTACGTCTCTGGAAGATAGTTAATCAGCGGTGCTTCTGTCAAGGGCTTCACCCTAGCAAATTCACTTTTTAACCCTGATTTGTTGTGTTTAATGGGACCAGAGGGGAGGGCGTGGACGCCGGCGGTGGAGGGGATCATGTCAGCAGAGTCCACTTTTGGTAAGTGGATGAGACAACCGATTACATCGCCTTTGGTGTAGCCCGACTCAGCGTAGTGCTTGCCTCGCGAATTGTGAAAAACCGTGCCCAGACGTGACCGCCAGGAGTAGCTAAATTTGTCGTAGCCACAGGGAGCCTGTAGGTTACCTGAATGGGGAATTGAATAGTTTGGGCCTTTGCTTCTAGGGATCTTATGGATATGGTTAAAGGAGTTGAGCTAAAACAATTTTATAAACAATAATAAACCGTGTTAGTAGAAGCATTATGTACCTTAGATAAGAGCCTAAAGCTTATCTAGTTTCAAAGCAATCGCTTTCGTTCCATACTGTTTAGCATATCCAGCTGACAAAGTCTTAGTCCCAAGTTTTGGTGGAAATGGGAACAATAAAGGAAGGTAGACGAGGTGGGAAGGGGGGGGGTGTGGCTAACCCATAAGTTGTGACCAGCCGATGCGCGTGGCTGAGCCCTCGGGGTGGTCAGTGATGGTGGCCTCATAGTACCACGTGCCGGTGTGTACGCTGTGAGTCGCCCGCGTCATGCTATAGCCCTTCTCGCCCGTCACCGAAGTCTGCGAGTCCTGCACCTTCATCTGCTGAGCTAAGAAGCGAAAAAAAAAAAACGACATTAGCAATAACGACAACATCGGTGACAACTCAAAGCTTTGGTACATAAGCAAAACAGAGAAGTTTAAAGAAGGAAAATATGATAAAATAAATCAAATAGGTTACTCAGGCCCTATAAGTAGGGTAGAGGTATGGAAGAAATACCTCGATCATGGAGAGAGAGAACAACTTTTGGATAGTGACAAACACGGTAGAAATAACCAGGGATGGGCTTTCCTGCCGTATTTTCACATTCATCCCACTGTTTTCGACCCTTCGCATGAGGATCCACCTCCACCAGAGCGTATCTTCAATAAAAAAGTAGAAAGGTGAGAGATTATCAACTCTACGATAGCAGTAAGAAAGGGTTTCTAGCCTCGGTAGTAGGAGCCGCTGAGAAGTGTATACACATGAATGAGTAACTGCAAGCAATCAGTAAGGTTCTGCGAAAAACAAGAGTAAATGCAGCCATAACATTTTTTGATGTCTCAAAACAACTTGTGTAAATCGAGTTCATTATGATCACGAAGAACATAAGGTAAACTGAAATCAACGATGAGTGTTGGCTGCCGACAAATCGAGAAAAATAAGGATCAAATAGGGCCCATAATTTTCATGCTGTTATATATTTTTTCCAATTACTACTCATCGTGAAGTTAATTTTTCTATATTCCAATACTACCAGCCTATCCCATGATTTTTCTCCATTTAAGAAGGACCTAAACGTCTAGAGAATACAAAAGCACCTTTCAGCCAAGCACATCTTTACCTGTAATTTTCCGTGTTTACCGGATGGTCTAAAGGAATCCCAAACTCGCTAATTTTAGTCTTGTTATCCTCATGACATCCAATGGCATAAGAGCCAGCGCTGAGGCCAGCAGAGGCAACAGCTGCTGCAGTAGAGCGACGCGTGGAGCGAACGTTACCACCAACGACGCATCCACCACCACCAGAGGCGCCGAGAGAGGCACCGCTGCCGCACACCTGACCACCCTTGCGCAGGAACTTGCCCATTCCACCCTCTGAGCCGTCGCCGGCTGTAGATGAACTATCGCCACCGCCGGCCAGGTCGGTCAACTGACCAGTGGAGGGGTGGGCGTTGCGTTTGCTAACGCTGGTCTTCAGTTGACTAGTGAGGGCGCGGAAACGCTCGTAACTGGGGCCAATGGTGCTCACGTCCTAACAACCGTAGTAAAAAAGTATAAGATTTAAGTCAGTAGTGAATTTTGACAGAGAAATTTCATTGCTGTTGGTTAGATTATACAATGCATAATCTAATGGCAACCTATCTACACGGTAAGATTGACTCCCCTTGTTAGAAGTTGTATTTATCAATATCGCTAAAGGGTATCAACATTACGTGAGTGATCAACGAAATAATGCTAAGGCAGGTTATTTATGAAGGGTAGATTACTGTCATTATTGTCAACACTACAAATTTAAGTAAAGATTTCATCGATGTGGCACTCACACAAGCAATAAGGAACAAATCTTGATAGATATAGTAGAGAAGGGGGACGTGAAGCCAAAAAGAGATCAAGTGGAAATGAAATGGGGCTGCTAAGTTGTAACAAAGACCAATCAGGAAAAACCATTCATTTAACAGAACTGGATATACCAAACTCATCAAATCAAGCTAATAATGCCTGAATGAAAATAGTGGGGAAGACAGTAATGCAATCAAATAAATTTAAGCAATGGTTTGATCTTATTTTGAGGATAAATGCTGTTGATTTTTGAATCTATAGTAGTTTCTGCAACCATGACGCTCCCCTAAGTAGTAAACAGAAATGAGTTTGGAATAAAATATGTGCAGCTGAGTTATACACTAATGCACACTTTATAATAGTGCAAACGCCATTTGGTTAATGGCCGCAGAGGCGCGTACTAGACATGATAGGAATGAAATGATGAAGTAAATAAAGATAAAGGCAAGTTGTCATAAAATGTCATCTAGCGTTAGGGAACATAAACAAAATGAAACCAAATACCAATCAGTTTTGAGCATATGAAAAATACATTTACGAAATACCCAACCAAGCAATTAAAAAAACAAGCGCATAGAACTAAAAGAGCTGAAAAACTATTTGTGATTAAAGAAATAGAACCAGTACCCTTTGGATAACCGCGAGGATAGGCAGTGAATATGTTTAAAACCAAGTAAACTTTAAATGGTAGGATTGGTAAGATAAACAAAATGACTGGTAGTTAAAAACTGCGTTAAGTTATCCAGTGGAATTATAAATTCGAGAATATACCAATATCACAAATATGCCAGTCGCATAGGTGATTTGAACGGATTTCAGCATGCGGTTGCGCAACATTGACTACCAGAATCTGGTAGGAGCTTCCCACCAAAATCCATCCTAACAATAGTGAGGTCGACGAGCTGATGAAAAGGGGCCACTATTCGTAGAATGGCCATAAGGGTATGTGCTAGTTCTAATGCTAAAAAGGAGTCGTATGGCTTAAGCGCTCCCAACGATACAACCCAATATTCCTGAATTAAACTGTCAGAGCTAACAATAACGTAGACTAGCAATAATCACTTCCTAATCGGGCGCCCAATCGAGCAGCAAGATACGGGACCTAATGTGAGATCAAAAGGTAGTAACCATCAGAAACCAATAAATTCTACAACTAAAAATAAGTGAACCATGGCCGCCACACACTAGATAACTACAGTGATGTACATTTGGCAAGACTGTAGTAGACGTTTGAAATAGAATAAAAATTAGTCAAATTAAGTGGCTTCACCAAGTCAAATAAATGCGTTTTGAATAAAATTATAAACTAGACAAGCAAACAAACCAAAATTTCCAGATATGAGAAAAATTAATTCAGGTAAAAATACTTTTGAAAATAAAAAGCTGCATCGGTAAGAAGCTCATGCAAGTAGTAAGTATAAGCAGGACTTGGTGTGATAGTAATTGACAATTAGATACCAATATACTTTTCACAAAAGGGGAAAATAGATGCCCCTACTTGGCAGGATAGACAAACCGCGTGTTGGGGATCCAAATCAACGACATTGAAGAGTTCATTGCTGACCTACAACATTTCACCACACAAAAAAACTTAATTACGAGTGTTTTGTGTATATTTGTGTGCCAGGAGTTGTTGGTTCGACGAGGTTGAGATGTCAAAAGTTCCCAATTTTGTTCAAGGTAGGGTATAAGTTCTTTTTCTTCGGAGAAGTAAATACGGCCATTACAAATGCACATCAAGTTTGCAAGTGTTGTTTGACACATACTGGCAAAGTTTGCTTGCTTCTTAGAGAACACTTCTTCCGATGAATTATTACACTTTTTGCACATGAAGTGGTAGGCTGTCATGAATGGTAAAGAAGGACTAAATGATTAAATCATTGATGTATCATCTTACCCAATGTCGAAACTAATGCATTGGTGATGAAACCACCGATAACAAAAGCTGCACTGAAATTCAGGAACAGAATAATCACGGGGTTTATTGCTAAATTATGACTGAACTGACAAGAAATGCATACCAATAGCACTGTTGGTCTGGGGCAACTTCAATTTGTATGGTTTTGGACATAAGCTCTCTCATCTTGCTTTCGCTTTCGTTGGCGACCTCTAAACTGCTTTCACTTGTGTCCATAGGCTCAGTCTTATGGAGGCAAATATTAAGATAACGAAGGGCAAACCATTTTGGTAGGACAAAATAACAATCCAAGCCTAGAGATTCAGGTCAAAACGCAACTGACCTTGGATGACCACGAATCCAAGTTCAATGAACAAAGTAGGCATTATCCACGCATGGAGGACTGTAAATGGCCTAATTTGCCATAAAAATCATTAAAATTTACTTACTGTGGTTCAATTACGTAGCGTGCTTTTTAAATGGATGGGTCTGCTTTAAATATTTTCAAACAAGTGCAAACAAATGTCCAAGACAATCATTTCTGCAGTTAGAATCAGATGTTTTTTTATAGTAGCACAAACTAATTTTGTGTTCATCGAACTGTTGACGAAGACCTGAAGCACCCTAAGTTGGAGGCATCGCAGCATAAAATGCTTGTCTATTATCAGCAAGCAGAATAGCTGAGAAGCCAACGACGTGGCTGCAAGGCCAAGTCACGTAGGTGGAAGTCAGACCTGTGAAGACTAAAGCGCCTATATATTTAAGTGCTTAGTGGGACAACTATCAATCCAGTACAGTTCAATGCATCTATCAGGCATCGTATTGCCCGAGTGAATTCGTTATTTGATTGTTTATGACCGATTCATTGTGTTCTTACGGGCAATAAACGCTAAAAAGCTTACTGTTTAAAGGAATTTGGTGAAATTTTTAGAGGGATGATTTCACCACTTTTGAAACCTACCCCACACTTAAAATCAAGTGAGTCCAGGGCATTACTACAAACTTGTTGTACGACGAATGCAAAAGTTGTTTGCGTGAATTCGTCGCCAATAGAAGGCTTGCTAAATAAATTGCACTCTACTGTAGTACTAGAGGTAGCTATAAGTCCGGTAACATGGTAGAAAATATGCTACTAATGTACGGTAGGGCTGAGAGGCTAGTGTCATGGTCCGAAGTCCATGCCGAGGAGCTAAAGTAAAATCTGCGGAGATTTAAGTACCCTCGTAAGCGAATGGTTAGTTAAACAAGCATTCCATGCAATTCATGGCTCCTCTCCTGCGCTCCCTTTGGTCAACCTCCCGCATCGTCCATCATCGCGTAGGCGGTGCTTTGAGAATAAGACCTCCGGCGAACCGGCAGCACCAGTTAGTGAATTTGCGTACAGATGTAATGGTTTACACCTCTCAACAATTTTACAAGATTTAAAGCCTTGGGAACTGTACCAGAAAGGGCGAAACGTGTTTTCCTTCTGTTGCCGGGGCGTGGGCAACGTTCTACAGTGTAGTCATCTCGTATCCTCATCACTAGTCGAAGGAACGCTGACCTAAAAGCAGTGCCATTTAGTACACGGCGAGGCTTTATTTACTTTCGCATGTAATCCTCCCTACCACTTTGTTCTGACTTTAATAGCGTTCAGCCACATAACTATCTGGGTTAAAAGATGGAAGAAGCATTGCTTCTTCATCTAAATGACATCTTCACATAGATATCGTAAACAATCCAGCAATGAATTTTTTAAATGGTTCAAATCTGGTGTCATGTCCGTTGTTGATAGGATTCCTGTAAAAGACGAGACAGAGATAACTGGAGAAGATAGATACCATTTTCAACCCCTCTGTTATTTGTCTTCATGGATTCTTTCATCACCAGCAGATGCCCTTCCTCTGACACTTTAAATTGCAGCATTTAGCTACATAGCTCAGGGTGTCTGTCCTTCAGAATAGAGTTTACTCCTCTCCACCGCCGTTGTAGCACTCCGAGTCTTCTCTGAATTCATGGAATATCACAATATCACGACAGAAAATACATTGCTATAGTACAGGACTGGGAGGTTACTGGCATGTCCCGGAGGCCATGAAATCTGCGGAGACTTAAGTGTCCACTTAAACTAACGCTGAATCATACGAACTATCCATTTTTACCCTACCCCTCTGTCATATTTGCGTTGTCTGCAGCACAGACATATGACTTCAGGAAATGTATTAGCCGCAAAGTTGGAGATTTAGTGTTTAACAGTGCATAGTCACAAACAGGTCTTTCTGGACATTACTGCATGAATTAGTCAAACAAATTCCCATCTTTTCTGATCTTTTTTTGGGTGTTTTATCTGTTAGTGTGTATTTTTTAAAGCAGATTAAGTCCACACTGATGGTCAATCCTTTGACAAGGAAGCAATTGAACGGGATTTTCAAATATTCATGTTTAAACACTGACATCATTTTATATATTACGGTTTTCGTCTCTTTCTTTGATAGGGCAAATATTAACTTTTAGAAGTGATGACGTAAATAAGGTTAACACACCAGAAATAGTCGGTGATTGCTATTAGGGCAAGACTCTTAGCCTAACTGTGCCACCACTCCATGGGAAGTAACTGAATTTCTCCATTGGATTTATTGACTATGAGCATTTTGGGTGGACTCTAGGGTTTAATGGAGCAAGCCACTTCACAGATTACTTGGAGCAAGTCTTAGATTTACCACAGATTGCTTAACCCCTACCGTAAGTCCTTTAAAATTTGTCCCTGTGCCAAAGTCCTTTGAAGAACTGGCATAAGAACATAACTACAAAAAACTTTTGACTCTCAATTATTACAGACTCTAAATGAAATCCAGTTCTATAAGGCAGCGCATCACAAACAGCATTACAAACGCTGCGGAATGTGCTAACCTGGTGACCAAAAAAAGGAGCCACTTTATCTTAAGACAGAGGAAGCTCTAATTCTACCACGGAACTTCGCTTGAATGCAAAATCCCACATTACCACCCCATTTACACAACATTTTCTTCACTGGCATTCATATAACCATTGTGACCCAATGGTTGTACCAATAGGGCCAGTAATCAACTGCAACAGTCCGATTATGACACTGAGTATTAAAAAACGCACTGACAGCTGAAATCCAAAATCTAACTTGCATTAGATTCAACTGAAGACTTTTCAAGTTAATCTTGTCATGGGCCGGTGTAGCGCCAAACTCTGTTATATTCCTATGAAATGCCTTTTTCCTTGGTGGATAGATTTAAGAAATCATATCCTCAACGATTTTGGTCGAGATTTTAAATTTTTCTTGAAACGGACATCCCCCCGTATCGAATGCTTGTACTGGTTCGTGGTTATCTTTCCAACGGTAACCGATCGCGAACTGCAGCTAAGCTGTCGAGACTAGCCGACACCATAAACCGAGTCTACCATAAAGCAGGGCCCGGATGCGGTGGGTGAGACAACTCGAGTCGTGCAATCAAGCCTGAGTTTTCCACTGCCAACCAGACATCTAACCATATCTTGCGTTGCACAGAGGAAACCACCTCTCTCTATTAGAGTCAGCTACCGGGCCAGACACCCCAGCTCGAGGTCCGTTATAATATCGTTAATTGGACGACCACTGACAGCTGAACGGTCAGTAAATACCTATATTCCGACTTAAAACTAGTTCTCATCCAAACCTTTACGTACTTATAGGCTTCTCAAAACGGCACGTACTACATGGGTTCAAGGCAGCCTTTCTAATGTTCACAGAAGGCCGCCTCAACTTGATTACCAAGACACAGTAGCACCAAACCCTCCTTGCTTGAAAGAAGAACGAGAGCACAACTTGATGAAGATACGCGTATTTAACAGTAAAACGATGGGTTCGACGAAGAAGGGGATGGTGGTGATAGTGTGGATAGAGGTGGTTAGAAGAGCATGCCCGGTTCACGCTCCGTGGTATCAACATTCCAGGAGTCGAATCGCGTTAACTGCGACATCGCATCCAATCGAGACATCTCCTCACGGTGCACATGGCTCGCCAGAGACAGGCGTGCAATCACGCAGCTAGCGTTGCGCTTCGTCTGGGGTTTCTTCGCCTCCTTCAAAACGAATCAATAGGCATTGGTGAAGAAGCTGCAAACGGATTCACCACTGACGTACATTGGTACACAAGTGATGCTTTTAAGCGATGTATATAACCGCACTTCACTCATGCACACATTTGAGCCAGAAGGTGAACCCTCTACACTACCAATGACATGAAAGGCTATAAATAGCAAATAGTACTAAAATGTTGAAGTGCTTACGCCAGAAAATGAACCTGATGCACAGCACTCGATCCAAAACAGCATCTACATGACCTGTCACAAAATACGTCTACATAAAGTGATTCTCCCACTGGAAACAAAGAAATAAACAAGCCACTGCTCTGCAAGTCTTGTCAAGCATAAATATGCCTGCTGCACAAATGCTAACCAGCGAAGTTCACATACTACGCCAATCTTGAGACACTAGGCTCCCGCTTTCCTATAAAAGGCAATTCACCATAAGAAACACACATACGCTAGTTAAAACGTCAGCAATGTTTCATTCCAACCAATAGACATCCACAACCATGGCAAGTTCACTAAATCCATGATACCCAACAGCAGAGCTAGCCCTTCATTCCAATGGGTAACGATTCAGTATGCTTCTTTCAGATGGAACTTGATTTGGAATTTGGACGGCGAAATCTCAACTGGGTGCTGTAACTCTGCATCAACTATAAACTAGCACTATTCGAACCAAACCGAGACGTTTATTCTTACAGCTATAGAAAGAAATGTTACTGTTGCGATATTACACGCAACACTGGGTAAAAAGTGTGTCCTGTCACAAAGTGATATTGGCGTGAATGTCAAATTTTCACAATTGATCAAGTGGGAGGCAACAGCGAGAGGCAATGAACGAACTTCCTTGTCAACTAAGACGTAAAATCCGAATCCTCAGATATCAACTTGTACAGAAAACTATAGCTACAGTACGATGCGGTGATAGAATGCCCAATCTTGCGAAAGCCACTTTACGATGCAAAGGCCTATAGATTGATCGTACTCTTGTGAGCCAGGATTATGACCATAGTGGTTTCCAACTTACAGTCTCGGTAGTAATTCGTGTCAACACTCAACCATCTCTGGCAACATCTGGTTGATCCTGGACACATGATCGACTCCTACTTAACCTGTCGCAAAATTGTACAGGCGACAAATGCTTCTGTGCGAACGGTGAATACAACACTCATTTGTGTTGGCCGCCGTGGCAGCATTACTACCCAGAATCAAGGCAAGCATTAGAACAATGAAAGCACGCGAATTCACCACCAGGGATAACATTTGGGCTACAAAATCCCCGCAAAACATAAAAATTGCTAGAAAGCCTACTCGTGTAAGTTTAAGCAGGTCCATGATGATCGTAGTGCCAATAAGGTTCTCTGCCAACACCGTGTCGTCCACACATGCCTCCAAGATAAGACAAGCGTTGGCCGCCAGCGGCTCATCGTAGGGTGGGGAACGCTTCTCCGCCTCGGAGATGGGCGGAGCACGTGCGCGCACCAGGAAGGCAACTTTACGGGCGACAAGTCGGTCGTCCCCGATGGCTATGCGCACGTCTCCACATCCTGGAGCCCGCGTGATAACAGAGAGGGCCCGAATCGCGCCACGGAGTCGGTGACCCGTCAGGCTCTCTGTAGACTCGTAAACCTTTGTGATACCGTTTACGGTGGTTGGAATCAGAGGGGAGAGAGCCTTCTCAAGAGTCGAGGTGGAACTAGGTGGAAAGTTAAAAAACAGTGACTGGAAGAGTTGGTAGAATTGGAGCTAGAAGTCATAGGCAGACAGCAAAGACGGAACGACCTTAGAATCCAAAATAAACAATTTAATCAAAAGAAATGCCCTTCCGGTGATAATAATAAACGCATTACACAGTTTTCATTTGGATACGGTAAGATGACGGACTGGTGGTAATAGAAAGTAGGCATGAATACGGAGAGCACCTCAATGGGACCAATCCATGCCTCATATTTTATGGAACGGTTTTGTTTTCAGATGAGCGTTCATGCAAAGTGTAATTGATGCAAAGTGAAATTGTCATGAGAAATTGGCCACTCTTGAGCATTTTGATGGTAATCCCTACAATACAGTCCACGAAGACGACGTAACGGTTGAACGTGATGGCTGCGAAACATGCCAATAGTATTGACATCGGCCCGGTAAAAATTTATTGCATGATTCTAATACACCCGACTACAAAGAGCGCCAAGAACAGCACTGTGCAATAGAGCGGTACTGATTACATGCGTATGCTTAACATACATGTCCATTTCTAGGCTCTCCATCTATATCTCTATCCCATCAAAGCTACTGAGATCCCCACTCTTCTCCACTAACAATAATCGACGTAATCAAGAGTGACTCGGGAGTTATTGTCCCCTTCGAATAAGCACCTGCTCATCATTAACAACTTACCGGAAATTTTAAAGCATTTTCCAACGGTGTTTCACGGAAGCCATGTTTCAGAGAGATAAGACTACAATCATTTGGGATTATAAACAACGGCATCGCTGACCCTATGACAATTCATTCAATAATTAAACTGTAGTAGAAGTATGAGAGTGCTGACGCAGAGATTTACGATACTCACCATGAGCATACAATGGAGATGAGGAGTTTTATGCGTTCTTTCAACCGGGGAACCGAGGAAACATGCTTTTTATTAGGTAAATCAGGTGCATCCCTGCCCGAGTGACTCCATTTCTCAACCTGCAGTGAAGAATACACAGATAAATGTAGAGCTTGGTTACTAGTCATTCAAAACTCCAGATTCTAACCCGAACGATGGAAAAGGCCGCGATACAACAAAGTCAATAGCAATGGGTATCCAAATTTAGAAGAAACTAGACCCAAGGATATGTACAATGAAACAACTCACCAAATCGGCAGTGCAGAGGGGCATAAAGCGACCGAGGAGAGCAATCGAGACAGAAATGAGTGGAGAGGAGTGCGAGGGTGTATCGAGAATATCACCGACAAGAGTAAGCAGTGCTTCCATTTCCTGTTGTGAGAGCTTCATACGTAGTTCACCGGAAAGGAAGTTGTGAAGCAGACGACACAGAGATGCCACCAGAGCCGTGTGACTGCAAACGTGGGGAAGGATAAGGCAAATGCATAAAGTGGCTATCAATCAAGGTGAGGAAGAAAAAGGCAATGAAACGCACCTTTCATCCACCATGAGAGGAACATGTCGGATGGCACAATTGGCGAGGTTGACAACAAAGTTGGGTTTGGAGATCATGGTGCGGCGCAGTACGGGGTCATCCGAGGCTGCCGAGAGGCTGTCAAGAAGGACTGAAAGACACGTGACGGGAGCGGAGGTGGTGGCGGTGGAGTTGCTATTGCTGGGGGCGGGAGCAATAGCGGCTTCGACAACATTCTGAAGACTTGTGAAACAGTCTGACGAACGGACCACAGTCTGTGAACGAGAAATGAGAAGTTGCTGGTTCAATGAGCGTTGCAATGCCACAACTGGGTCAAATTCCATGAGGATAACTAGCCGGACGAGTCTTAATTTTTACAAAAGATGGGTTTCAAAGAATCACAGTCTATTCATAGCCATTATAGTCTACGTTACTATGGCGGGATTTTGGTTTATGATACCTTGGAGGCTTATTTATAGCACTCTCAAGACCAGTTCATCTCGATGAGTAGGGAAGAATTAACGACACTGTTCTTAGGAAGTCTGATCAAAACAGTTTCATAGGACCCATCAGTACGAAGAAAATGGATTCGATCTAATGAAACATGTTTCAGTGGTAAGAAAGTGCTAGTGTATTAAACTGTAAAAAACAAGCGGTTGTATTGAAAAAAAAACAGAATTTCTGGGTACAAACAGCGATGTCACGAATGAAGCCATTTGGGTCAATGTGTCATTTCAACAATCCATTTATGTCACTAGTTACGCCTCGATGAACTAGAAAGATTGTATAGGGAAAATAAACTGCTCAAAAACTGAAGAGCTCACATGTAACTGTAAAGGGCAGACACCTCCAATGAAAAGGTCATTGCCACATTGTTGTGCGGTTTAATGGGTAATTAACTTATTGAAGAGCACAGAAATAGAGCTTTTGGCAATACTGTTGACAAAAAATCCTTGTAGTAGACTATCCTTTCTTGACTAAATAGACAGGTAAATTAAAACAACTCGGTTTCAAGAGAAACGACCCCTAATTCTAGTCAACATAAGGTAAATGAATTCTATTCAACGTAAAAGTCAGAGTAGGATATTGCAAAAAACAAACGCAGATACAAAATGCACCACAAGCTCCATAATCTAGAGATACGAAACTGTGGAGCAGTTAATTTGCATCGCTTCAGGACACGGCCACTGAGAAGGAACCAAGTAATGTTTTTGGATCAGATAAGAGATATCACAAAGACAAGTATCGTGTGAGCTAACCAGGAAACGTGGACTTTTAGTGATATTCTCAAGAATCTTTGCAGCAGCTGCCACAGTCTGTGTGGCAAAGCAGTCGGCGAAGGAGCGCTGCTGAGCCAAGGCGGTCTGCGCTTTTAAAGACCGACAGAAAGAGAGTTCAGAAACCGGTGTGGCGCAAGGCAGACCGAGGGCATCAGAGAGGCAAGTGGCGAGAGCAGAAAGGAGGACAGCGGGCCCTGGGTAAGTGAGCAGGCCCTCGCGACCACTGGCCTCGCAGGACATCAGTGCAATGAGGTCACATGCGGAGCACTGAAGTAGACCCAGGAGGTGATGCAACTGAAGCTCTTGTCTGGCGGCAGTCCTACGACAATAAGGTGTGGATTGTGGTGATGAGTGGATTGTGCTGCATGGTAAGTAGAATACGCACCCCGTTTGATTGATTAATCCTAGCCATCACGGCCCAATCTGAACTAGCGATAAGTCACTTCGACCACGAATTCGCTTGGTATTACTCATCCACGTGTCACACTAATCTATCATATCCATGCCAGTAGCGGACACGTAATACGAAAGGCACAAATAGTTGGACCCAACGCTCATACATGACAAAATTAGCACTATATTGCAATTACCAGACTTGGCTTCATGATGCCAAAATAAACTACCTCACTTATTTATTCGAGTTGATAGCTACACTATCATCTTGATGGCGCTGGCATTCAATCGTGACTCATACGGCATCCGTATTATGAAACAGCTGACGACGACTCCGTGTGACCTCAGTTAAGAATAATACATGATGGCAATGAATAATCCAGATGAATCCATCCTACTGCAAATTAGCCTCAGTAAGGGATGACAAGCCTATTACTGTTTCACATCCACGCCAATCAAATAGTTGCCCATCGATAGCCCCTCAACCCCTCCCCCCTAACATCCTAGTTCCAATGATTAGTTAGTGTTCAGCCCAAGGTTCACGTTTTTGTGAAACAGATAGATGAATCACAGTTTGAGCCTAATTAAGATGAGCTAAAAAATAAATTAGAGATTCCCAAGTTTAATCACTACTAAGTCATGAAGATACGAAAACGCAGCATTAAATTGAAGAAGTTTCAAGAAATCCTGATAAGACCAAAAACCTAACATTAAAATAAATCAAGGACAAATCGGAAATCACTTTCTCCAACCTAAAATTTTAACAAAAAAGCACATTTTGGTAATAATCAGTGGTAGTATTAAAGGAATCTAGATTTCGATAGGATGGAAAACAGCCTAGTAAAGATGTCAAAGCTATTCCCGTCTTCTATTTAAAAAGCGTCAAAAGATTTCAATGCAGATCAAAAGTAGGCCATAAGACACTCGCGCATGGCAAAATGATAACCGGTACCTTCTAGTTCGGCTTACACTAAAGATCATATACATTGGAAGCTAAGTTTTTCCACATTACGTCATTTCCGTATTAAATATACTCTAAGAGGACACAGAAGAGAAGAAATAAGACACCAGACCCCTTCCCTACTGAGATACTTACTTTGGTGCCATGGTAGATGATATAGGAAGTCGCGCATATGAGGGCGAGACTTTGAGACAGTCGACGAGGAGGGTTGAGAATAGTTGAGGCATGGTTTCTACCAAAAGACGCTGATTTTCGCCACAATCACGAGCTAGTTGGTAGCACACAGTGATGAGGCTCAACAGGTGATCCAGTATGGCCAAAATGTCCTCCACACTCTGGTCTGATGGGGGAGCTTTAGTAACAGTGCCCTCCCGTCGGCAGAATAGTTTCACCACACCGGAAGCATCGAAACGCTGAAGTGGGAAACGAAAAGAACACGCAATGCACAAGTGAAGAAGTAAGTTGTAGGTGGAGCTGTTTACGTCAAATAAGACAGGTCGTGGAGGGGATGTATGCGTCATTTTCAAAAGTCCATTGTCTCGAAGATATTCAAAAGTCAGAAGGAAGCTAATGAACAGAAAAGTGACACCGAATCACGCAAATGCTGGCTGAAGAGCGTTCCAGTACAAAACTTGCACCGGCAAAATAGTAAAATACTATTTTTAAGGCTACTGAACGCCAACTTGAGAAACTCGGAAGCAATCTGACATAACTTGATCATAAGGTTAAGCGATTTCAGCATGCATTCAAAAGCTCACAATTTGAAGTGTGGCATTATGGTAAGGCTGTGATACAATTATGACGCTTAAAATAAACTGGATACTAAAAAAACTTGTAAAACTGTGATGCTATGTAAATTTGTCAGCAAATGCAAATACAGACCAGACACATGTTTGGACTCGAAATCCAAAAGCGAATTGACCGCGCTTGAACTAGCGGCAAAGTGCATAGTTCACCAAATAGCCCAGAATGGACAAACAAAGCATGTCTAGCAATAGCCCAATTAAGCAATTGCACCAAGGCAGCTAATGCCATCATCTGGAGTAATGACGAGGACTTTACCTTCATTTGTGACTCCAGCACCGTGAAACCATTTCTAACCCTGAAGTAAGATTGCAGCTTTGCCAGTGTGGCGACCTCACCGCTGGCTGCTTCATTGGCGTCTCCATCTCTCGGGGACGCAGAAGCTGAAGCAGCCTTTCCACCGTCTCTTCCTTTCTTTCTTTTTCTGTGATGGCTACCACTTTCTGGAGCCGCTTGATCGCCATTGGGAGAAGTCACAACCTCCGTTCTCTCTGCTGCCTCCTCCTCTTCACTCCCCGATCCATTTGTAGTCAAGGGAATGTTAGGGGCCACATTTGCTGTACTCAACAGTGCTGCCATCTGACGCAGCGTCAAGGTGTACTGACGCATCTTACGACCGAAAACAGCAGCCTCAGTTATCAACCGAAGGAAGCGCTCCCTTAAGTCACAGAAAAATAATCATCCAACTTATTTAAGGGGATCACACCAAAAAAGTCACCCACTCTGTCGTCTCGAGAAGCAGGGGTTCGCAATCATTGAAAAGAGAGAGTTGAGTAGACGATTGGGAATCAAGACTGTCGGCAGCGATAGCAGCCTTAACCTGCGCGACACCCTCACGTAGAAAGGGTGGCCACACGTCCGAATCGGTATCAGGCATGACACCAGTTGCAGGGTGGTGGGCAAAGACGTTAAACGCCCTTGCATCGACGTAGGCACTTAAAGCGTCACGCGGTCTACGCAACACGAGCAGGGCTTTGCCGCGGCGGAGACAAGCCTTTGCTGCTTGTTGGTTTGTGTCACGCGCCGCATCTGCGTCCTCACCGATATCCGTGGGAGTGGTTTTTGGCTCCGCAGGGAGAAGACGAAGGGCCAGGTCGCAGTCTACTAGTGCCAGTTCTGGACGACCAGCACGTAGATAGGCCTGAAATTAGTACGCAAAAAAATGGACAAGTCAAAGCATCTTCCCTCTTAACCAAATAATGTATAGTATTTAATCAGAAGTAGACACCGGGTGGCAAGGGGTTGTAAAGAAAAATAAAATAAACAACTTATCCAATTACCAAGGCTCGGTTGTTATAGAGAACTGCCCAGTCTCGACAGGCATCGATTGCTTTAGTGTATAGTTTGATAGCATTTTCCATGTCACCAACTTTAAAGAACTCATTTGCTTGCTTTTTGAACTCTTCTGCTCTGGCTCGACACCTTGCTCGACGTCTAGAGCGTTCTGCAGCATCCGCTGCAACCTGTGCTTTGAAGGCTTCCACGGACATTTGCTCCGGTCCAGAGCCATTGGCATTCAAACCTGTGTGTTGTGCTAAAACAAGTTAACAAAGCCTCATAACTTCTTAAATCTTATTTAAAAAGTAAAGTATAGTCTATTTTTAAAACCACATGGATAAGCGGCAAGGAACGAAAACCGTTCTTACTTACTTGCTGACCCACTGTCCAGGCTTTTATTGATAAAAGTCTTATTAGTACGACTCCCACTTCTGGCTAAAAAATTAAACACTATAAGGCAAAGTTACTTTTGTTGATTTTTTTCAAAAGCTTATCGGCTTCTTCAACTGCTTTTGCAGATACATTCGCATCAGAACATGAGAGTCTGCGGATAATTTCGCTCATTTCCTCAACATTAGCAAGTTTCTCATAGTCCTCATCCATTAGTTTATTCAGTTCCATCGCAAAGCAACACACTACGCTACCACTTAAACAATCCTAAGACGTGGTTTAAAAGGGCTCTAACGCGAATCAGCCCATTTGGCCCAATAAAACAAATACAACCCTTGTTATAGAGTTCCTGTAAAAAAGTTTTGTAAGAAAAGTACTTTCACGCTGTTTAGTACAGTTACAAACAATTAATTATGCCATTAAGTGACACTGAAAATAAGTGGGAGGACTTTAGTTTAGAAACCAGTGGATACATTAAAAATGGACCAATATCTATGTATTTCAAACTGTTATGACCCAGACTTTCCTATGAAGTGGTGAAATTGTACGCAGGAAAAAGTCAGGAGCTAATGATTTGACCATTCAGCTATGCTTATGAGTCACAATACAACTAATGGTCTGCGTGGTGAAACATGCGGTTAAAGAAATAGCAAAATTCTGTGTAGCCCCGTTTTTTCTTTTGACCTTTGTCCTCTATGCTTTTCCTAATCACCCTTATGCATCATTCACCTCGATGCAGTCGATGTTTTTAAGACGACTTAGATTCCATGAAAAGCAATTATTGAACCCTTATTTTGACAAGAAGACGTGTGAAACCAGGGTCATCGTCACGTATTGGTTAGTTTAAATTTGTAGAGTTGAATAATTTTTGTAGCCACAGTGGTGAAAGAAGGGTCAACTAGTCTCTCGGTACTCAAAACTAAGCGATTTCGCATAGCGGGTGCAGTTTGTACGCCATTCGCTATCAGCATGAACAGTAGCCTGAAAACGGCCACTTGATCATAGCTACGCGTTGCTGCTATTCTACATTTTTCTTCTCCATTGCTGTGCTCTTGCTTTAGTGCTATTCAACTACTTATCTGTGTTCTATTTGAATAGTGAGAAGTGGAGGAAGAGCAATATATTTAAGCGATTAAGGTTTTTATAAGTGCCTTAGACAACTCCGTCAGGGTTTTTCTCAAGTCGTTGAAGTATACAACCGCCTCAGTTATTAGTGGCCTTTCTTCTAAGGGTAGCTTTGTTATATTTGTAAATTTTGTACTATAAATCAACATTTTCTGTAGAGCTTTAGCGTATTTTGCCCTTTACAGAACTCACTCTCCTTTATCGTGCAAGTTTGATGATGAGCAATAAAAATAGAAGCAATCGCTCTTACAAAGCGGATTTCCTTGCCTGCTTTATTAAAATAGCAACCTAAGAGTTCTTAAAAGTCTATTAATATTCCACAGCGGTGTTAGGAATAGGCTTATCACGAACGACAATCTGTATGGAAGGAGGGTCAAACATCTGATGTGTAACCTATGCGGTCTGGAGAGCCCGCACTGTAAACTCGCATGTAAACTAGCATCCAACTATCAGAGTGCTGTTTCACGTTATAGGAGTTTGTAAATCAGACGAATGTGCTAAGCCTTTAAGGGGGTAGAAAACTCTGACGCAAAAATTTTTCAACACCTTTTAGTCCTTGCTTTAGGCGAAAAGTTGGATAGCATAATAATTCATTAAAAATGAAAAGTAAATTAGGGGAGCAGTAAATGAGTTACATAAAAGGCAACTATCAACGAAGAACATTTTATTCCTTAAGTGTTGAGCTATATTTGCGCTCTTTTGTAATTAAGATCTTTGTGAAAATTTAACCCTTAAGGTCTGCCTTAGAGTTTTTAACAAAAGCATAATGTGTTACCCAGTGACTTAAAGTTAGGGACCCATTTTTTCCTATTTTGTCGTGATTTTATATTTCATTTGGTATTTCGGTGCAAAAAACTCTAGTTGCCGCAGACTATACTGTTGCTTTAGGTTGTAACATACAAGAAACGCTAGCAGTGCACCAGTTCTTGCATATCTTTGCTAAATGTTCTTCCATACCACTCAGGACTCTTAGGAATTTATAGGAGACTCTAGAAAACACAATTTTATGGTACATTTGACGGTCGGTTATGGCAAAGGGTTACTTTGCCTTTGCCTTCGAACTTTGCCCGGTGAGCTGGCCTCCATATTATATCAGTAGTCCTAATACTTTCTCCATGCCGAATGCATATATGTAATACGATGGTTGTTCATCCCTCGGCATTAGAGAGGATCGACCTTTGAGTTGGCCTTAGTACTACTCCGGGTGAGCTGGCCTTTGGGCCATGCAAGTATCTCACATACCTTCTCCGTGCTGAATACATGTCTTCTTTCGTCTTCAGGGAAGTTTTGGGACGCTGCATATATTCTGCTCAAGTATTATGTCTGGTTCGTTTTTAAAAAGTCCCAAGGTCCTTTAAGTTAGTCACACATAAAATGTTTAAAGTTTTGTTGAATCGTAAACTTATTAATTAGGACAGAAATTTCGTCAACTACTATTTTGTTTGCACATACTTTGAGCATTTACCTCAACGGAATCTGACCTTTTTGGTCATTAAATTGCTAAATTGGTGTAAACCCCAGTAAACAAAATCCGCAGTAACTCAGTGTTATTTTCTTTTTGCCTAATTTTTCCTGTAGTTCTTAAAACATTGTTATTTCGCCTTGCATTGTTTTAAGTGATCGATAGTACTTATTAATGCCGGTGGTATTGTTTGGAATTAAGGACAGTTTAAGTTTACCGACTCTGTTT